AGAAAAAGCCAAACAATTAAGGCACTTGCCATGAATAGCCTAGTGGATAAAGATATGGACTTGTGAGTGAAGAAGTTAAATGCAAGATGTTTTCAAAATCACAGTCACTAAATTTATTCTGTTGACCCATGTTCCCTATTTAAATTCTGTTGTACAGGCCAAAATTGTGTAACATTATAAATCTTTAAATCAGTTTGAAACTTGTTTAAAAACGGTTGCAACTCAATGCCGTGCGGGTTTTAAAAAATATTGAGAAAGTATTAAAAAAGGCATTAAAAAGTGTTAAATTTAACCTCTGGATTTCTGTATATACCCTGATATGAAAATAGGAAAAACGTCATAAACATAAGCCTCCATGAACAGGATTTTCAGACTGAGTAGGAGGTACAGTGAAAAGGCTTGACCGGAAGGCTAGCTTGCAGTGAAAGTTGCAAAAAATGCCATGGTTTTCAAAATCAATAATGCAAAAAAACTTAGAAAGTAGAAATGTAGAAAGTAAGCCTGTACATTTCCACTAATGGATGAAATTTGTCGTATTTGACTCTGGATCCTGCTGTCATCACATTGTTTTTCTGTTTCAGCGTGAGGACATTTTGGGCAAGCTGGCGGCGATTCAGGCACCTGAATCTGAGATGAAGCTACTTTATACTACATCTAAGTTGGGAACCGGAGACAAGCTTTACCTGAATAAACGGTATGATGGCTTTTCTGTTGTTAGGTATTGGTGCTTCTGTTTTCTTTCAATTTGCTCTTTTATTGTGTTGATTGATGCTCATTTCCAAACAAGCTTAAAAACGTGAAAATCCATGTATTCTATTCAAACCAGTTACAGTTATGTAGTTTTGGTTGTGGTAAAATAGATCTTAATTTTAATGTATATTGTAAATATGTCAGATTTATGTTAAGTTTGTAATTTGACATCAAAGTATAGACATTGCAAAATGCAGTTTGGAACACTTTGGAGGCGGGAACAGTGCCTAATATCTCCGCTCCTTTGATTGGTTTTTTAAAATATTGACTACGATTGACTATTTGCTTTGGTAGAAGATGATGATAACTTGTCACTGGCCGCGGTTAAGTTAGCCTCATATGGATTTTCATATAATTTTTGTCTGTAAAAGTTATTAATTATTATATTGCATCCACTTAAAGTGCAATGGAGCAACAACTAAGGGGTTAATAGCTCTAAAACAAAATGGGACAGCCATGTCCTATGGAGTACGTGTGCTTTCATCAGTGGACTCTGGGGGATAATGCACACCCCTTGGATTTTCAATATCACTTTAAATGTGACGAAACACGTAATCAAACAATTCAACTGCGGTCCCACGGTGCACTGCCTAAATCACACTTTACAACTTATTTATGGATTAATTTGTGTTATCAATTAACTGTCAATATGTATAACAATATGTATTAACTGTCAGGGGGGTCCTGAGCGCGTGGTTTGACTTTTGGCACTAATGTAACGCCGAGCGAGCGAGTGCTGTGCAAATGCGAGCGCGTAGAGAGGATGGGTTTTCTGCTCGCTAGCGCATACGCGCGTGTGGTTCTTATGCGCGTGAGTTTTGGCACTAATTTAACGCCATATACCCGCCCCCGATGCAGATAAAAGAAAGGTGACAAGGTTTACTTTTTTGCCGATTTAACCTAATTTTACTTTAATACTTCTGACAATGGACGTTTTGAAAAGAAGACAGATTACAGATTGTCAGTTTTTTTTCATGATTCTACATAAAGACTTCAGCAAGATATAAACTGAAATAGACTGAAAAATATGCTGCATTGCCAACGATGCACTCGATCTCAGAGGGTTAAGAGCGTTTTGGTGTCCTTCATGCACTTTTTATCTTTGTGTTTTCAGATGTGTTGAGGAAACTCAGGATGTGACATCAGGGCTCCTGAAGATCAGTAGTCTGACTGGTGCCAACCGGAAGAGAAAGTGGAGGACCGAAGAGGAGGAGGAGGAGGAGGTGGAGGAGAAAGATGGAGAGAATAGTGAAACCACTGACTCCTCTGACAATGATGAAGAAAACGATGAGGCCAAGAATAGAGCACAGGAAAACAGTGAGATCCATAAACCAGAGATTCCTGCTGGTCCTTCCGCGGAGAGCACTGCAAAGGCAATCCAAGGCCAGGCTGCTTCAAATAACGTTCCTCCTAAACTGATGCCCAAGAAGGAACCATCAGAACCTGCTATATTTGTGCCTGTTGATAGACTGCCCAAGGTCCAGGTGAGTTTAAGTGGCCCACATGGTACATCTAAAACAGATTGTGCCCAAAAAAATGACATTTATGTTACTTATCTCTTTTCCACTAGTGTCATGCCGCGGTGCTGATGCTGACTGGGAGCTGGCTCTCAGGTGGTGCCTAAGTGGCCTGACCTAAGAACCTGTCTGATTTCCAGTGGTTAATAACACCTCAGAATTTGTCCTCAGAAATGTCATTTGAAAGCTGCTTCACTCCTCAGCTATGGCCAATGAGGCATGTAAGGGCATGCTGTAACTAAACCTGGGACTGAAAAGTATACGCCTACAGTGAATGAACAAGTTGAGAACCTCTCATTCACCCACACACCAACTCACTCACTCCTTTGGATCTCATTTTCATTCTGAAAGAATTCTGAACATGAGACCTGAAGGAGTGAAAGAGTTGGTGAGTGAGTCGGTGAACCATAGACTCTGATAGGCTACTGAACATGAGAGCCATACCTTAATTCGGACTGAAATACACCATCTGCTAGTGTAATGTATAGCCTACATGTGCAGTGACTTCGTGTATGCTCTAATTGGATTTTAGATATGTCATTTTTTCACAATTTAAAATGATTTGGTTTGTTAGCATCCGGACTCGTTAGCTGACTGTAATGAGCTGTTAGGTGTTCATTTTTAACAAACACAAGTACCTAAGATATTATTTTGAGAGATTTAGACTATAATTCAACAACAAATATCTTTCTTGTATGACTTATTTGTGATATTTAACTCCTTAGCCCATTTAACCGATATAATAAAATACGTTTTTTGATGTTGGTAAGCAAGTGTTTCAGATCTATTCTATGCAAATAGTAAGTGCCACTGAACAAGTTGTTCACAGAATGCATCTTAAAAGTGAACTGAATCAAATGAACTATTTCCCAAAAAAAAGAGTAATTTCTCCAATCCTTATGCCCTACTCTTGTCGCTCAGTCATACTCATAGTTAAGTAAGTCAGGTCTCAAACAATAATAAAACCCATTGTGGTTCAAGGAAGTAAAAGGTGGAAGGATCAGACATCTATGAATAGGTGTTAAAAAATAGGAATGTCCTAATAACACACTCTTCAATATCTTCTAATTTTCATATTTGATAATTTTCATATGTGGTTCAGATTAAGTTGAATTTACAATGTGTATTTGGAAGCCTGTGAAAGGATCAAGAGTTTTGCTGTGTGGGTCTTAGCAGCCAGCGTGGGGGTGTGTGTTTCAGGAGGCCCGCTTAAAGCTGCCAGTGTTGGCAGAGGAGCAAGTCATCATGGAGGCGGTTCGGGAGAACATGTGCGTGATCCTGTGTGGGGAGACGGGCAGCGGAAAGACCACCCAGGTGCCCCAGTTCCTCTATGAGGCTGGATACGCCAGGTACTCCTCAGGCTTTCTGTGCACATTTATCGCAGGACAACATGTGTATTGTAGCTTAACCTTAATGACATGCATGATAAATAAAGCTAAGGAAAGAAGCATGAATATAACTCCTTGCAGAGCAATCAGGTGATTTTTCATTCCTCCCAAACTGAGTTGTCGCATTTCTGTCAATCTGCCTGATCAGAATAAAGGTGTAAATGTTCATGCGGTTTTTGGGTGTAACACAGGGTATACTGTTTCTGCCCATAACCCTCATACTCTGCTTATTCTCCTCCTAATTCTTCCCCTCAACATCCAAAGTGAAAATGGTATCATTGGCATCACAGAGCCCAGGCGTGTGGCAGCAGTCAGCATGTCCCAGAGAGTTGCCACGGAGATGAACCTGTCCTCACGGTGAGGGCGGTCAAGGCTTTTGGGGGCTTTCCCTTGAAGTAGCCATTATGTAACTGGCTGACTCTGATCAGGAGGTCTCTGTTGATGACGTTTAGATCTTCTCATCATGAGACCACATTTTCTGAGAAATAATTATAGATATGACTGAACATTCATCAGTTCCTCCTTTTTAGCCTAGGGTATCTTATCATGCATTTGTCTTATTTACCCTTTAATGCATTTAAAGAATTTATTCAACCAAATAACTGCCAGTCTTATGTCTTTGATTAGTTGACATTGAGATGCATTTTCAGTAATCTGTAATATTAGGGAGACCTCAGATGATGTTTTTAGAACCCTCTGCTTAAGAAAGTAGTCAAAATATTAGAAAGTAAGATGGACAATTATGGTAACCAATTTTCCAGTTATGTACTGACCTAGACATTATTACTATTTTTTTTTGTGTCGTCAGTGTGGTGTCCTACCAGATCAGGTATGAAGGGAATGTGACAAGTGACACCAAAATTAAGTTTATGACTGATGGTGTTCTGCTGAAGGAGATTCAAAAGGTAATTCTGTTCCTGAGGAAGATGCATACTGTTCATGCAGTCAACCAAAACCAGCAGAAGTATGATTAATCCACACCTGATTCCTCTCTATGTGGGCAACGGTTCTCCTCAGGATTTCCTGCTGCAGAAGTACAAAGTCATCATAATTGACGAAGCCCATGAGCGGAGTGTGTACACAGACATTCTGATTGGTCTGCTTTCACGTATCGTGCCACTGCGCAACAAGGTGAGATCCAATGGGAAAGATGTGCTACCATCGGTTTTGAGCTGGAAATGAGTTTGATGGCTAAAACACGTGAAGCATTTGTTTAGGGTTCTGTCTAGCTATATGGCACTGCTTTAAGACTCATGTACTTTTTCTGCAGAAAGGACATCCCATGAAACTGATAGTCATGTCAGCCACCCTCCGTGTCGAGGATTTCACAGAAAACCGGAAGCTGTTCTCCACCCCTCCTCCTGTGATCAAGGTGAACTTTGACCCTGACATGTTTTTCAGGCTCCTGTCTGTTAGTGAAAATTTCACCTTTCAGACACCTTTAAAACATTAGTAACCACACTATGAGAATGAGCCCTTTTAGTTATGTGTTTTCTGGGTGATGTACTCATGACATGACTGGACTCCCAGAGCTCACTCGGCCTTAGCTAACCTCTCCCTTTTTGCTTAGAGAAGCCTCCTCAATTGCATGTTGACGTCTCTTTGTTGCTTTGTAGGTGGACGCACGGCAGTTTCCTGTCACCATTCACTTCAGTAAGCGCACAGCCATGGAAGATTACATGGGGGAGGCATTCCGGAAGACCTGCAAAATTCACCGCATGCTCCCCCCAGGTGAGGCACCGGCAGCATCAGCTGAGTACTTGCTATACTCACTTAGGTAGGTTTGCATTGCATTAGTATAGCATTGGTCTGGTTCTAAAGACTCAGGCCTCACCAGAACAGACCTGATCACCAGATCAGATTAGATACCTGTAACTTCATGCAGGATCCTGATATGTACCGTGTTACTGAATGAAGAGGAAAACACCAGATTGAATCCAAAGGGGGTGAAACCTGACCAAATGTTTCTCTCAAAGCTGGTGTAAAATTAGCTGTCCAATTGTTGAAGAACCTGTACTTTCATATTGTAAGCATTTTGTAGCAACCGCCTTTGGCTGATTTAATCGGACAGGCTGCTTGTGTGATGGCTGCACATATTTGCACGTGGTAGCACGTGATTCCTATGCAGCCATGCAGAGCACTCACTTCGTCAGTGTTGTAGTGTGGTTTATCAGCACCTACAGTAGTGAACCTGTCAGAAAATCAAAGGTAAGAATTCTAAATTCCTACAGCTTACATCAGTTTTACCTAATGTTAACATTGCCACAAAGCCAGACTGATCTCAATTTTTAAATTTTATTTATTTATTTATTTTTACACTCAGTGACAAAAAAAGTTACCATATTTTGCTCACCATAAGGCGCACTGGATTGAAAGGCGCACTCTCAATTGCGGGGCTTATTTCTGTACTTAAGCCATACATAAGGTATTATTCGCCGCATGCAAAAACAAGGTAACAAAAGCAAAACAGTGAGTTTAGTTAAACCTTATTCTACTACATATTTAAAAATACACTCACATTGTTTTTTGATCAGTCTGTTGTCATTCTCCTGCTTCCTCCACTTCCGAACCATAGATTCATTGATTTTGAATTCTCTCGCTGCTGCTCTATTCCCATTTACAACCGCGTAACTGATAGCCTGTAGTTTGAATTGTGCATCGTAAGCATGTCTCCTCTCTGATGCCATTTTCAGGGTCCTTAGCTAAACAAATGTTGTTTCGCAGCGCACCGGTACTACAATATACCTACCGTACCTGCCGTAGGCGTGGCGGAGGTAAGCGTACCTCTGTACGTGACTTACATAATGTTCTGCAATTGGTTTATCGCTGCCAGCGTACATAGTGTACGTATTACTACCGTACGTCCCTATGTCGGCAGGAAATGGTCCGACAGTCAATCAAGCGGAGCGCTTACTAAAATGCACAACAACATTTTTACAGATTTTGGAACTCAGTGCACACATAAGGCACACCGAATTTAAAGGCGCACCGTGGATTTTTGAGAAAATTGAAGGCTTTTAAGTGCGCCTTATAGTGCGCAAAATACGGTAAGCACCCAGAAGTAATGGTCCAGTTTGGATGTAATTTGGTACACGTGCAAACCAGTGATGGGTATGTAAATGATTTGATTTGAAAGTAGCTGGAATGTCTAGTCACCAGACACAGAGGATGCCTTGTAGAGGTATTAGACAGCATTACCAGCACTTGACGTATTTTGATAGGAGTCACATCATGGGTTTGTGTGAGGCCGGGAGGTCGTATCGTGCAATTGCCCAGCATGTGGGGCATGCAGATGTCGCAGTCACCTGATTTTGTTACCAATGGGCAAGTGAGGGCACCCACACGTTGTGAAGGTTATGGTCACCCAAGACAGACCAAAACAAGGGAGGATCGTCGTATTGTATTGTGCGCCAAGCATTACAGAACTCCATGACATCTGCACCTGCCATCCAGACACAGGTAGTGGACTCTCTGCAACACCCCATGTCATCCTGCACAATGTCTCTTCGTCTGGCATCAGGTTCACAGTACCTTGTGTAGGCTGCCGTTAACACCAGCTCAGAGACAGCTGCGTTTTGAGTGGTGCCGTAACTGGGTGTCATGGACTGATGATGAGTGGGGTCGTACCATGTTCAGTGATGAATCTCGGTTCTGCATTATCATGGATGGCCATCGTGTGCCTGTATGGCGGTGCCGAGGGGAGAGGAAAAATCCTGCCAATTTTCTGGAGAGACACACCGGTGTTACTCCTGGCATCATTGTGTGGGGAGCCATAGGGTATGACTCCAGGTCATCTCTGGTAGTGATTGAGGGGACTCTGACAGCACAGTGCCACGTCCGCATGTCTTACCCGTGCTGAGAGAGCACCCTGGTTTTTCAACAAGACAACGCCAGTCCACACACTGCACCTTTGTCTATGGACTTACTTTGTCATATTGTGGTGGCCAGCCAGGTCCCCCGATCTTTCCCCAATGGAATATGTGTGGGATCACCTTGGACATCAACTCAGACCCAGTGCCAATCTGCAGGATTTCAAGGGCCAGTTGCAACAGCTATGGCCCGACTTGCCACAGGAGAGGATCCTACAGCAGTACGACTTCCTTCCACACCGTATTGTTGCATGAATCCTGGCCCAAGGGAGTGCGACAACCTATTGACATGGGACCAGCAGTATTCCCATACTGCCAACTCTGTTGTTCGTTTGATCTGATATTATAATCATTGTGATACATAAGAACATAAGAAATTTACAAATGAGAGGAGGCCATTCGGCCCATCAAGCTCGTTTGAGGAGAACTTAACTAATAGCTGAGTTGTTAAAATCTTATCTAAGTCTGATTTAAAGAAACCAAGGGTTTTAGCTTGCGCTACACTAACAGGAAGACTATTCCATACTCTAACTACACGCTGTCTAAAGAAGTGCTTTCTCAAATTCACTTTAAAATGTTCTCCCGCTAATTTCCACTTATGGCCACCAGTTCTAGTATTTTAACTAATATTGAAATAGTCATTTAGCTGAACAGCATCGAGACCTGTTAGAATCTTATATACCTGGATCATGTCCCCCCCTTAGTCTCCTTTGCTCAAGGCTGAACAGATTCAGCTCAGCTGACCTCTCCTCATAAGACATTTCTCTAAGACCAGGAATCATTCTAATAGCCTTACGTTGCACCCTTTCCAAGGCAGCAATGTCCTTCTTGAGGTATGGTGACCAAACCTGCACACAATATTCTAGGTGGGGTCTTACCAAGGAATTATATAATCGTAGCATCATCTCCCTTGACTTAAACTCCACGCACCTAGAGATGTAACCCAACATTCTATTGGCCTTTTTTTATTGCTTCCCCACACTGGCGAGAGTGGGACGTGAAAGCATCAACATACACAGCGAGGTCTTTTTCATAATCAGCTATCTTTATTTCAGTGGAACCCATAAAATATCTGTACTTTATATTTCTGCTCCCTGCATGGATTACCTTACATTTATCTGTGTTAAATTTCATCTGCCAGGTATCAGCCCAGTCTCTAATTAAATCATGATCCCATTGTAGCCTCTCTGCTGCTAGATCAGTATCTGCTACACCACCCACCTTGGTGTCATCTGCATATTTAACCAGTTTACTGTATGTATTGGTGTCCATATCATTAGTGTAAATTAGGAACAATAGTGGTCCTAAAATTGAACCCTGCGATACCCCACTATGAACGCAGGCCCACTGTGACATTGTGCCTCTAATAACTACTTGCTCCTTCCTGTAAATTAACCAGTTTTTGATCCAAGCTGCTACAGTTCCTAAAATCCCTGCAGTTTTGAGCTCAAGCTGGTTGTGGGGCACAACATCAAAGGCCTTCTGGAAATCTAAGCAGATCACATCGTAGGCCTTTTTGTGATCAATTTCTCTTGTAGCTTCCTCAAAAAACTCAAGGAAATTAGTTAAAAAGGATCTACCTCTCCTAAATCCTTATTGGCTATCCCTCAATGTTATTTGCATCCAGGTAATCTACCATTTTCACTTGGATTATCGCTTCCATTACTTTTCCAGTTGTGCAAGTTAAACTGATTGGCCTATAGTTTGCTGGATTACTTCTATCCACTTTTTTGAATATGGGCGTTATATTAGCATGCTTCCAATCAGAAGGTACCACACTAGCAGCTAATGATTTCTGGAATAGTAAAATTAAAGATTGGCTAATAATATCCCTCATCTCTTTTAAAACTATAGTTAAGATACCATACATCCGGTTTGTAATGTATGAAGCAGACGCATATGAGAGAGCTCCTAGGGTTAATTATCTTTCTTTTTTCTATTAAATGAAACCTTTTCTTTATTATGTAGCCACTTTATGTGTAAGTCTGCGTTTAGACTTTTATCTGCAGAAATGAACCACTCTAAGTCTAACAGGCAGAGCAATAGTGCTCACACTCCAGTGACACAGGCTGCAGCTAACGCAGCTAGTAAGCTGGCATTGTTTTCCGCCGCTAATCCACTGCCTACTGCTAGCTCTACAACAACACCCGAAGAAGCCAATACAACTTCACCAGTTGCGATGGAACTATTGCATGCAGAATTGGTGAAGCTGAGATCCTTGATAAAGTAGGACATTTCTTCCCCGATTGGGGAGTCTACAAAGCCACTCCAAGCTTTGCTGGATACCTTACAGACAACAGTGAACTCCTTATAGAATCGATTCACCTTGGTGGAATCTATAGTAGGCAAAACTTTGAACGTCTGGCAACAGCGGAGGCCACTATCCAGCTGCTTTGTAAAGTAAACCAATCCCTTTTAGACAAGCTCGATGACCTTGAGTACCAATCATGAAGAGCTAACCTTTGAATACTAAACATCCCCAAAGGCAGCGAAAAGGGTAAGGATCCGATTAAATTCATGTCGGAGTTGCTGATGGAGGTACTGGGCCCCGAGGTGTTTACCGTCCTACCTGGTCTGGAGAGAGCTCACCGGTCCTTGACGTTCAGTCTTGGCCAAAGGAAAACCCCGCGTCCCTTTCTGGTTTGCTTCTCCAGTTTCCAGTTCGAAAGAGGTCGCACTCCGTCGGGTTAGAAACCACGAGTTGAAGTTTCAAGGTGCCACGATACGGATCTATCAGGACTTTAGCCCAGCGCTAGCGAAACAACGGGCAGCATTCAGTGGTGTAAAGCAAGCCCTATAGCAGAAGAACGTTTGATTTCAACAACTCTATTTAGCCCAGCTGCACGTGTTCTTCAAGGACGATATGCTCACCTTTAACTCAGCTGACGAAGCGCAAAAGTTTTACGAG